ACATTTCCTAAGTTAAGTGGAAATTCAGGCTCTAATATTCACCATTCAGAACATCGATAGATTATGAGGGAATAAAGTTGAACATAGCCTCCATTATAAAGTATGTTAACCTTTATTGGATAGTATTTATTTCACCTTTGATGGCAAATTTTATAAATAGATGCAGGGACTTTAAATTGCTTCTCGCCTACCAGCAAATGTAGTGAATATTTGCAAGATATAGTTTTAAAAGTGTCTAATGAAGGAGGTAATTGTGACTCCTAAAATGTTTGCTAGATTTATGGCTGTTTATTTTTTCACTTGGCAACATGCCAAGAGCAGTTTATATAATTTCCTGTTTTCATTAAACTAGTGTAAAAGTAATAGCAAATGCCCGATAGAATTATATCAGAATAAGAGATTACCTGTTATGGATGTTATGATTATTAGGAACGATGGTAAGTCAGGGAGAAATATTTATAGAAAACCAGTACATGCTGGTTGTACCTAACTAAGGTTGGAATTTTTAAATCTATTATTATCAAGAGTATTATGTTTGCGGATGAAGATCATCTGCCTGGGGAGTAAAGAAGGCTGTATCATTCATTCCTAAAAAATAATTATCCTTCAAGCTTAATTGATAATATTATTATTTCGTTGGTGATGACTGAATTGTCGAATGGCGACTAGTTGATCATGTCCTAATCTTGTCGACATATCCTGTTTCTAAGAAGATAGGCGAATTGGCGACGAAGTTGAGGATAAAAAGAGTTTTTAAAGACATCGACACTTTTGTTTAGAGAGCAACATTACCCATTATCTAGATTCGGCTGAAACAAGATTGTGTGCTCCTGTGGTCGACCTTATGTTGGTGAGACATGCCGACATATTCGACAAAGAATAGGTGAAGTGGCCGAACATGCAGGCCACAGACTGGACATGAGATAGAAGGCAACTCAGCTTGTAAACTGAGGAATGGTTCGCATTCATTAAACAAGCATGCTAAGCTCATCCATCCTAAGCAGACATACATAATCCCAGACGTGCTTTCTGTCGTATCATCAAATCTAAATGGCCCCAGTTAAATGGGTTCTGACTGGTGGTTTCGTAACCTGAATTTCACGTGCGCAGGCGCACATCGCGTTAGTTCAACTTTTTGGGAGACACGGCCAGATGAAATTTAATGGCGTCACGAGGCCTATTTGCAGCATTGTTTAGAAAAAATAAGTATCACTTCTTCATCACCTATTCAGGGTGATAAAAACCCCTAATCAACATCTACTGATAGTTCATGAGTCTACTATTTATGAATATCTAGTAACCTATCGCTTCTTTCAATGCTTATGCAATCCAAAAGCGATATGTGAATATCACTTAAATACCTTCTTTGTTCGCATCTACCAATCGAATCTCGCCACCACACCAGATGTATCAGAAATTGTATTGGATCAATACCCTTTTGACCAATCATAAGCTGATCTTTGATTAAGCCAGTATTTTGAGCAAAAGGAACTTCGTACTTGCCAAGTTCTTCCGTGCGACATTCTCCTAAGATGCCCCACTTCTGTAGGAGCCATCTTGAAAGTCGGTCGGATCTCTGCGTCGGCTCGTTGCCCTAATTCAGCGTCGAGTGCACTGGACAAGTCGTCCAACAGCCATTTCGTTGCTTTCTAATGCACAGGACTACACTCGGTCTGCAGAAGTAACGCCACTGCTGCAAGGCCGACCTCAAGTAGACGTCATTTATCGGCCTTTGGACCTCGCTGCCTCCTATCCTTTGACTTATGCAGGTTAGCTACGCAACGCAGACACGCTTTTTGGTGGCCAACACCCAGCCGCCTTTTTCCCTTTTAATGCATATTCATATTCCTTCACAAACAGACTTACAGCCAAATGACATTCTACGCAACCTGGACGCCAACATTCTTCACATTGTCCGTTAAGTCGACGCATACACTCGCATTCTTCCCACAACAATGGTTGATTTCGCTTCTATTTAAGCAGCCCTCTCGTAGCACACCATTTAACACTCATCCGCATTCATTGTTCGTGACCTCCGATGAGGCCTTCCGACGAACGTGTCATTGGGTCCTCGGCTGCACGACATCTCCAGACTGCTCTCTTCCGCATGGCCGGAGGCGGCTTCCGTCGCCGGCTACTGCCATTGTCGCGAATTGACACCTCCACGTGCTCGACTATGCCCTCTTCCCTTACACTCATGCAGAGACGCCACGTTTGCCTTATTGTTTCGTCCTATCGTCGACTGAGTTAGCCATTCCTCTGGAGGTTGGACATACACCCCTTTGCAATGTGTGCCACATTCTCGCACACTGCCGCCTCCTTGGTCTACGTGTGAAATGGTGCAAGTCGGTCGAACATTCGCGTAAGGAGGATCGCGCTCAGGTCGGAGCACACTTGACGAAACACACGAACTTGCACAGCCAGAGAGATGGCTGCCAGAAGTAGGCTTAAAAGAGGCCTGAGCCCAGTTGGCTCAACTTGGGCGTAGTGTAGGAGACGAAGTAAACAGTCACGTCGTCGAACCGTCGACCTGGCAACTGGGTTCGGTCTTAGCACTGAAGGAGAGCTCGTCAAAATCCATTAAACGACCAACTTTCAAGCTGCAGGCAGCCTTTGGCTCTGTAAGATTCTTCCGTAAGTGAGATTGCCAGTAAATCAGATATATGAGTTGTGTTCACCCTATTTCCTTTAAGGTGATGAAGGACTGGTAGTTCAATTTTCCCACAATCATATGAATAGAGCGAATGCTTCCATTGGATTTCACATCGTTTTTTTCCAAATATCGTTCTCATTCAGAGTGGGCAGAAGTGAATGTTGAGGGAAGGCCAGACATTTTCCCCGCTCACATTCTGTGGTGTGACCATCGTTGAAGCAAAGCTATATTTGCTTCGTTAATTAGTAGAGTTTCGAGATTTCTCATACAACTGCTATAGTGCTAGTTTGGAAGGCCCATTTTTGAACAAAAAATAAGTAGTCGTCGATTGTCGCTCCATGCGTATTGTCTTTAGATTATAGACAGTATCGCGTCCTTTTTAATTGATGCATTTATCGTCCATCCGTGGATTTCTCTGTCCACTTGCACTTCCCTTAATTGTAAGCAAGCTTATTAGGTGCAAGACAAAATTGAGGATCGTCAACGAAAAGGAAGGGGAATTGATATTCTCTGAGTTAGGATAAGGCCTAGAGCCCCAACCCAAATATTTCGGTACTTATGCATGTTGTAAGATTCTTCTCCTCAATACACTTACATTATGAGATGAAAAGATAGGACATTGTCAAATTAAACATTCTAATTAACATCTACACCAGCCTCGCTCCCTTCAATGTATAAGAAGGAAAAGAAAATGAATTATCCGCATGAATGATGGCGTGAAGATGGTAAAAATGAAAATTCGGCACTGGCGATTTTCACAATATCAGTCAACTGGCAGATGAAAATTTAAACTTGTCTTAATTTAAGAATTATTAATGCCTCTCGTAACAATAATTTTTTTAAAGAACAGCGAAAGCTTTTTCTGCGAGATCGTGCAATTTTAAATTTGAAGCTACAGTCGGCAAGCCTCACGCCATTTTTATAGGCTTTCATGTGGATCCAGATTGGTGCGCTTCAAGTTAATCCTAATGCTGCCGAATATGATGATGATTAAAAAATTAGCTAATTAGCTGCAGTTCCTTTGCGAAAGTCTATCTAAGCCTCCATCGTAGAATAAAACTGCAGTATCGATGCGTCCTTAGGAGCTTCATTAAAAATCTAGTTGGTTTGTTGCAATTTTTAACCAACACACACACCACTCGCATTTGCATAGTATGCACTCTATAATTTTATTTCTCGCCTACGACAATCAGATCGAACGGTCAATCCCAGGCACTCTAACATCATTTTTAACATGAACCGTAAATAAATCAGCTTAATGCAAGCGCCAAATTCTTATCCAATGCTAGATTATTGAGTGTTGCTTTCTGGAATTATGTTACTATACCCCATAAATCACGTGGACGCCAAGCGTATATAGTAGAATGCGTTTTTGGCATTCAACTCAAATCTGCCAAGAACATCTGCTCGCATATAATTGGCACAAGATGAGATCTCCTATAGAGAATGCACGTGGTTTGACTGCTTGAAAAATATTAGCCATAAAAAGTTCGAGATATTAGTTAAGGGGGGCTAGCAAATACATAAAGCCTAGTTTTCTCCCGATCATCATAAACTTACTTGCTGCAATACAAGCTCGAATGATGGGATATTTAGATTTATAAACAAAAATCCAATCAGACAAATGAATACTGTAGATACGAAGAAAAAGTTGGTTTCGATGAATCTCCTGAGATAACATCGTTAGGGGACCTTCATTCCGAATGAAAGTGCATGAAGAAGAGTTTCATTGGTCGATCTCACCAGATGAGGACGGATGAAGCTCGTACGGCAGCCGTTTGGCTTTTATACGATATTAATGTTGACGCAGTCCACGAGACTTCCTCCCTCGTTTCGGGTGGACATCATCAGAGCTGGGTGTCATTCTTGCAAGTCTCACGTTAGCACTAAAGCAAGAACACTATCCGGCTCTATCTTACTTCTTATATAGACTCGAGCAAAAGTAACAGGACCAGTATAAAAGATAATTAACCAAACCACTATATCGAGCTATCTAGATTTTAATTTTCTTTTGGCTCAATTAAGTCTATATAAGAAGTAAGATACAGCCGGATAGTGCTCTTGCCCCAGTTTTAACGTGATACTTCTACAGGAATGAGACCAAGCTCCGACGATGTCCATCATAAGATGGATGAAAGCTCAGCAAGTTTTCACTCGAAACGAAGCAGGAAGTCTCGTGGACTGCGTCAACATGAATATAGTATAAAAGGCTGAAGTACAAGGAGATTTAACCGTCCTCATCTAATGAGATCGACCATGAGATCTTCTTCATGCACTTTCATACGAAATGAAAGTCCCCCTAACAAATGAATTTCGTCTGAATTACTTCTCGTTCTTCACAGCAGTCAGTATAGCTGACTGCCCATTTGTTAATATAAGGATATGATTATATGTCATAAAGTCCTTTACTCGATAGCCATAGCCTGACCTAAGCAAATCTCTTCCCACAAAGCGTGTCATGTGACCGAAAGAAATCTAATGAACCTTAAGAATGCAGTAATAATGAAAACTTTGTATATTGCCTAAGCAAACTCGGAGATCAGGGAACAGTAAAATTAGCAAAAAGAAGAATATATCAAAGAAATATTTCAGATTTGAAGAAAAGGAATAGCAGAGGCCACAGAGGAAAAATGGGAAACCAAGAGGAGACTTATACACTGAGCCTTATAAAAGCAAGTATAAAAACTGTAACATTTGGGAGTTGGTATACAAGCGACTGGGGGATAGGAAATTCAAGATGGCATTCTGGTAGGAAGGCGAAGGATGCGGGAGATACCAGATAAAATTAACTAACAGTAGACGAGATTGAAGCAAAGGCTTAACTACGAGACTTATCTGTTGCACATGCCGAACAGAGATAAAATAATATGCAGCTCATTGAGGTTAGAGTAAACATGTTATTAAAGGCTTGAGACAGTGTCGAACATAACGCATCGAGTGGCACGGATGTGTTGGAGTGATCAAATGAAATCACTAAACTAGGGAATTAAAAGATGAGACCTACAGAGCATGAAAGAGACTCTGACAAGAACTGGAGGAAGATTGCGGATTGAAACGGCAGACTGGGATCAAGATTCCCAGGACGGTAGGGGAAATGAGGGAGCCAGTGGGGAGTGTGAATAGGTTTCACTAAATCCCCACAAAAGGACATATCTAAACCAGGTTGAAATAAGCAAACAAGAAAGTGTTATAGAAAAAAAATTATACGAGGATACAGGATCAGCGAAGGCACCAGGATAGGAGAGGTACAACCACTGTTAAGTAGACAATTGGTCAATGGATTGATATCATACGTCTCTTTGACAAGCCGTAGTGTGGTGCTGAATGTCAGGTTCACTAAGGATGCGTGCGAAACAACTGAAATGTATTAATTCACCATATGGCGCGGAAATTATCATGGATACTATGGTCTTTGGATTAGGTCGTCTTAAGAACACGAACAGGTTGTAAAAACGAGGTCAAACACCTTTACACAACTAAAAGAGACCGCAGCCATACTCAAGGCCACACTATCTTGGTCTTCCTATCTTCGAACATACCTTATAAGTCACAGAGCAAGTAAGGCTAGGCATTTTTCCATATCACATTATTTAGTGGGATTGTCGATGAAGCAACGTTTTATTTGCTATAACAATTGATTACATTACTTATTTTTCGTTCATAAGTAGATTATCGAGACTGTCAGCAAATCATTTGAGATGTAATCACCCTATTTCGTTTAAGTTGATGAAGGCCTGGTAGTAGGTAATGCAAATTTTGCAAGTTGAATTAGGTACATTAAGTTAGTATAAGAAACTGCAATGCCATTAAATTTTGCTTAGCTTTGTCTCTCAGAGAGCCTTTTTATCTAGTGCGAACTAAGCTTTTAGTCAAAGTGCTATCAACATTTTGAAACCGGATGGTTTGCTACATGAAAGCATTGCCTAATTCAATTAAAGGACAAGCCTTTCGACACAGTAAAATTCGATTATTCCTTATGCATTTACTCCCACATCGAAAGAGAAAAATTCTACGACATAATCCCTACTTAGAGTGTTCGCATTAGCTAACTGCTAAATCGGCAGGCCAACACGATCTTCAGTGTATTGGCAATGCTCGGAAAGATAGAAACGTTCTCATTTTCGGAGCCCTGGTCAGAACAATAACTCAAAAATATATGCAAAGCTAGATAGTTTCAGACATTTTCTCTTATAAATAGAGGATTCTGCCCCAGCCAAAATAAAACGAACCTATTAGTAGGTAAGGCATATAAAACAATCTTAGCTACAGAGTAGGGAGCAAAGTATCCATAAGTAAAATAATCATCAAAAATGAAATAAATTAAAACAAAAATATGTTTTATGGAATAAATATGTACAGCAATGAAATCAGGGTAAAATATTTATCAGTTCAGAGTTTCCTATAGTATTTTTTTATCAAGGCTAGCCGCTGCTTATGGGCTTCTACAGCATACGGTCGTTTAATAATCTTTTCACTTGATATAAATCCAGGAACAGTGATGTCCCAGTCACGTTCTGTAATAAAGGAAAAATAAATAAAAATAACTTGCAGAATAAATGTCATAGATGGACATAACCTGTTTAGTTGACAAAAAGACTGATTATTATATTTACCTTGTTTTCGCAACTTGGTCATATTGTCAACACGCCTGCGGGGTCCATAGTATGCATGATGAGTCTGAGCTTGGAAATGGTACACTCCCAGACGTTTCGCCAGCATCACGAATGGGCTACAACTACAACTCATCAAAGAGACAAGTAAAGTCGATTCTATGACAAATTTTCTGATAAACAGTTGTGGTATCTCTCTCTCTGCTCCGGTGTATTACCTATCATATATCCTCGTATCACTAGCATAATGTCCTATTTGCTTATTTAAACGTGATTCTGATGTGTCCTTTTGAGCGGATTTCATGAGACATATTCCCACTCCACGCTGGCTCTCTCACTCCCCCATCCCAGTGCTGGGAATGTAGAACTAAGTCTGTCCTATTAGTCTACAATATTCTTCTCCTAGGTTGTATCAAAGTCTCCCTCTTGCTATGTAGGATCCGTCTCTCATCTGCCTGGTTCACTGATTTCACTTGATCGCTGCCGTTCTATTCGAGGCATTATGTTCTACATTCTGCCTCAAGCCTTACATAGCACGTATCCTCTAATCTCACTAAGTAAGTTCCTAAAGTCTGGATTCTCGATTGGTATGGCAATCTAATTTAACGCTGCAGATTACCTTTCACTGTGTGGCATGTGCACTGAGTAAATCTCGTGGTCAAGCCTTTACTTCATTGACAACGTCTGTGAGCAAACACGTATACTGTTGGCCAAATATCCCGTCTCCGCCGAATTTATCGTACTTCCTTCCACACTGTCAAGTCTATGACTTCCTGTCCTATGGTTTCTAGTTGTTTCCTTGTAGCCACCTTCCTGTGATTTTTATTCATGTCCAAAATGTTTTGATTTAGTCGTCCTCTTCTTGCTGATCTTACTGTTGCTGGATCTTCTCCAAATTTACTTGGGCAATATACAAAGTTTTCACTAATCCTGCTTTCTTAAAGTTTTATGTTCGTTAGACTTCTTTCAGTCAGGATATCGATGGCCCCTCGGATCTTGCGCTTTCTTGTATTTTCACTATATGCAGCCAGCCTTACTGCAATTTTCGTGTCCCGTCCATGCAATGTTCCGTTATTTTAGGTCTTTCCGTATACATTCTCCCGTAGTATTTGATGTTGCATGATTCGTAGGCTGATCTTTCTTCCCGTTTCCCCAACATACTTTTGCCCACAGTTGTCGCATTTCATGTGATGAAATCCCAAGCAATCCAGTTTAACAAATTTCTCGTGTTGCGTCGGCAGGCTGGCGAAGAGTGTTGCCTTTCTCTTAGTTATCATCCTGATATTCCATTTTCTTAGTCACTGTAGCAGTTTTGGGCTCACTTCAGAGGACAGGCATATCCACTTTTGGTAGTCCTCCCGATTCATGATATTATTTTCATAAAATCCAACTTGAACTCTGCTCTTTATGGCCCTTACTATTTATTTCTATAAATTCTCTGGGGTACCCGTTACTAGGGCAAATCTAAGTAAGTTTGTTTATTTGTCCTAAGCTTCTGATGACCAAACTCCTCAGTAGTCAGATCTTCAGTCTGTAGTTGTGAGGAGACTGGAAATTGAGGATTAATCCTGAGGATTATGTCCGGATAGCTTTCTCTTGAGTTTCTCGTTAAAGTGAATGACCTCAACATCCATCCACCTCCATTGTGAATTTTATTCTTTCATCAAGTTGGTTCATAA